GCACAGAAAACAAGAAATGAAGAATTTTTTCCGCGCGGTGGAACAAACAACCCTGGGATAATTTTTGGTTGGGGTTGGGGTGGGTGGGAGGGGGGTCCCCCCCCCCCCAGTGTCACGAGATCGGGGCAAACGAATTTTTGGCATGGCCTGGTCTGTGTAAACAAGGAGGGCTGGTCGTTCCTCTCCTGGTAAACAGGCTCGGTTTGATCCCCTTTGGGAGGTTGACCAGGTGTGATCAGGTGGCGTGTTTGCTCTTCTCCTGCTTGAGTCCCAGGGAGGAGGGGTCAGAGTCCGCAGTTGGTGCAGGGTGCCTGGGGGACCCTGGCCTGGGGAGGGGGCGGAGGCGCCCGGGGGCGATGCCTGCCTTTTCACCCCGAGGGGCTTCCAGGTCTCAGGCTGAGCTGTGGATAACCAATGGAAGAGCAGAGGTGTTTTCCTAGCTTATCTCGGGCCGCAGGAGCCAGCGTATTCTTGGCACCCAGCGCAGGGCCTGACCCACTTCTCCGTCAGCAAACAGCCAGCAGCCTGGAGCCTTTGTGGGGCTGTGATTGTGGGTCTGGAACAAGGCAATCCAAAACACACCTCTATTTGTCCGGGAAGATGGGTCGGCAGCCTTCACCTTCCCATGAAAGCACCTGGGCATCTCCCCCGGTGCTAAGGCAGCAGAAGTGGGGATTTTGTGGCCCAGGCCTCGCCCCTTCTGCAGAGACCCATCCAAAGGGTCCGGCTGGGCTGGGTCCAAGCCAGAGCGGGCACTGGGGCTTTTTCTGGAGCCCTGAGCAGAACAGGAGGCGCAGCTACCACCTCTCCCGTCCCAGGTCCGGGGCAGGGAATTATTTGACCTCACGAAGGGGCACGGTGCTGGCCTGCTAGAGCCTTGATCCAGCTCCAGCAGTCTTTTTGGCCTGTGCGCGCGCACTCCCCCCGCCCCGGCTCAGAAACAGCAGAGATGCCCCAGAAATGAGCTCTTTGTGGGAATCTGCTCAGGCCTCGGTTGCAGCTAGCAGTCCCAGGTGCTGCTGCAGAGGCTTCAAGCGGGGCTCTGGGTACATTCAGGGTCTCCCTGTCAGTCTGACAGGCGGGGAAATGGAGAGGCTGCGCTTCCCCCTTCCCCCCAGGCCACTCTTCTGCTTCTGTGCAGTGAGGCAGCATGGCTAGCTGACTGGGGAAGCCTAGAGATGTTTTGCCAATTTTTGGGGGGTGGGGGCAGGGAGGCCACCTTCTCCTCCCTGTTTTAGCCAAGTCACCCTTGTGCCTCCTCTGGGGTTCAGCCATGGGCATCATTAGCAGGGGGAGATCATTACCATGTCACAAACAAAGCAGTGTTTCTCACCTCAGCAACTCATGCTGGCTGGGGGATTCTGGGAGTTGAAGTCTACACATCTGCAAGTCGCCAAGGGTGAGAAACACTGCCCCAAAAGATGACTGGGGTTTGGGGGAATCCTTGAAAGGGCCCCCCACAACTTCTGGGGCTCCCCCCCACATGGGACTGCTGCAGAGGAGCCTTTCTGTAACTTCCTGGGCATCGTCTCCCACCCCCACCCCCCAGCAATCAGCCCTTCCCCCCGAGGAATTCCAAAACTCCCCATCTCCTTCAGGGCCCTGGCCTTGGCCAGCCGTTGCAACCTTTCACCGGCTAGTTTAGCTTTGCTGCCGCCTTCTCTCCACCCCCATCCTTGGAGGGGGGCTGTCTGAGTCAAGCCCCAGATCAAGGTTGAAAGCTGATGCCTGCAGGGCCCCCTTGTAACCCAGTTCTCTGATGGCCGCGCCACTCCTCCCCATCACTTGGGCAGACCCCCAGAGGCTGGGAGACTCTTCTGAATCCCAGCCCCGAGCGGGGCAGCCTGTGGGCCAAGCAGCCCGTGATCCTGGGGAGGAGGACTCCTGGACTGAACAGGCGTAAAGGCAGCGTGGCACATACATGTATTGCCGTGCCGGGCCTGATCTGAAGAAGGCCCTGAGTCCCCCAGAGCCCCCCCCAGGCAGAAAGCGACAAAGGGCTCAATCAAAGCTTCTGCCCCGCTGGCCGTGACTGGGCTCCAACTCCCATTGTCCTCAGGCAGATGGACGGGATGACGGAGCTGAGATCCAGCTCTGGGGCTGCTGGGGATAACTGCCATGCAGCGCCAGGGGTCTCCGTCCTCCTGCCTATATTTTGCCTGTCCCTTCAGAGCGCTCAAGGCCCCTAAGCAAAGGGACCACGTATCTTTACTGCTGTGCCCCCACTTCGTCAGACTGTAGAGCTGGAAGGTCCACCCTCCACTTGAGCATGTCCAGCGAAGGGGAGCCCCCGCCTTTCAAGGCCCCCTTGGCCCCACTTCTTGTGGGTTTGCTCCCGTTTAGGCTTGGCGTGTTCTGCAAACAACTTAGGACCCTCCCTGCCCATTGCAATCTGGCCTTTGCCTCTGCCTCCTCCTGCTTCCTGCGGTCTCTTCCCCAGAGTTAGCTGGAGGCAGGGGAGAGGCATCCCCAGCACGGCCGACAGGGATGCAAAAGTGCTCCAGCAGCCTGCAAATGCTCTCCCCTGCCCCCCCACACGTTCAGGTTGGGGCAACGTGTCCAGAGTGCTCTTGAGCCAGCTGCCTGCTGGGCCTTGGCCCTGGGCCCTGACGCAAAGGCTGCCTCCGGCAACTTCTCTGCCTACTGGAGCAGCACTGAAGGGCTTTCCAGGAG